AGCAGCGAACTATTTTTTGAATTTCGACGACATTCCTGGTCTCCTCTGACGAGATGAGTAAGACATGAGCAACGGACGATGGACAATATGTTTCACAATATGTCTTCAAGGTGAGAAATGATTTCTGTAAGCAATTCCCGACGCGCATCATTGAAGATGATCGGATGAAGGAGAACGTGACTGGTAAAGCAGATTCTAAACGACAATTGTAATATGAATGTTTAGTATTTTTCCAACATATTTTTGCGATTCATTTCGAAGTTACGTCACCAATTGCGAGTTGATCATTGCCAAGCGCATGGCCTTCAATCGCAGTTCCAGAACACATGGAAACAAGCTCTGCAGGAAAGAACTTCTATTGAACATCTCACTCGCTGGAGTCTGGAGCTTATCGAAGCTGTGCAGTGCATTTCTAAGAATTTATAAGAAAGATACATATCTCTCCAGCATAGAGGCAATCTCATACGCATGTTCAAACCAGTTACATTCACAAATAGTGGTAAAATTAGAAGGATGAAAGGAAATAATGGTCGGCCTCTCATCACAGGTATACCAACTGCAGTATACGACTCCGCAGCGAAGGCAACCTGAAATTGCGACCAATGTCGTCCGTCCTGTCGAAGCAGTTGCGAACCCATGGCAGAAAGTATCGACGTGCAATAACAGCGAACAAGTACGAAAACTCCAAAGTTACTGGAATTGAACTGCTGGCGCTTTTGTTCTCCAGACGAAGGGGAGCCCTTTGTCCCGACAGAGGTCCCTGATAGAGGACTGCTTATGCCTCCACATCTGCTGATCGAAAGTCCACCCATACAAGACATACGTCTGCCCCACCAACAAATTACTGTTGCAGTGTACACACAGCTGTGCGGGATTGCCAGTCCATGAGCTAGACGACACTCTCAAGACAACATGTACACAATCACAATTCATAGATCAACACACGAGTTCGATCTTTGAGTACGAAAGTGAAATGATGAATATAGATGATGACTTGGATCGTGTTACGTCATGCTTGAGGAAACAATGAGCCGAATTCCATCGTCGTACTTACGACGATGCAGCCAGAAATCGCGTATTCTTACGTACGAATTCTTACATATGCATGCAACTTAAGACGATTCCATCGTCAATCATGCTGCTAAATCAAGCGCTCTTGGCACGCTCTTGCCCTGAAGAAAAGGATTCAATAGGCTTCTTCGGAGTAAGAATTCTGAAAATGCACAGATTCTCACCCGCAGATCTTGTAAATGAGGAGCAACGTGGCCATGTGGCAAGAGCATCATGATCCAAAAGAACGAGGATACGAGTTGCGCAATTGCTTCTTATTCCTATTCTGCTCGCTGAAGATATCTCTTACATCAGCTCTATAAGCTGTGGACATACAGCTAAAACAGCTGGGTCATGCCATTAATTCCTTTAACCGACGTCGCGATTTCATTCACTTTTGAACAAGTGACTGGCAGTGGGGCATCTTTATTCACTGCGAGTAGATGGCTATATTTTCCTGCCGATGTTTACCAGCTTTAGGTCTCTTCACTTTCCACTCTCTTCATTGTAATTAACCTCTACTTTGTCTTCTAGTGGATTGAAAAACTAGCGTGATTCTTTTGTTATAACTGAAGAACATAATCACAAGGCGGGCCTAATAGATAGCAAACTGAAAAACTTAATCGAAAGTGTTGAAAAATTTCATTATAATAAGAGAAGAAATGAACAACAAATGTAGCTAACAATTCTTACCGAGATGACACCTCGTTATAAAGCCAATCCTTATCTTTTTGTCATGCATTTATGATAAGGTGACATTCAGGAGCGAAAAGAGTGGGATATAAAATATGTTGAGGAGTAACTAACTTAACAATATCATTAAGGGTACGACTAGGGACACACCCGCTTTTGCTAGGGCCACACCGGCTACATACAAACAATTGATTGCGCGTCAAAGCACGCCTCCCCTCAAACCCAGCTGCTAACTCGAGCTGATCCGCGAGGCAGAGGAGAGCGTAGTCGAGGGGCGCGGGGCCGCTGCGGCCGTCGCTGTCTACCGTGTTGCTGCCGCTTGTACCGCTGCAGCCAGTGCTGCCGTTCTATTGATCTATTTCGACTGCCATGCCGCTTCAACCCACTTCGGCGGCTTTGATCGAGGCAACTTACACGGGCGGGTGTGGCCGTAGCAAAAGCGTATGTGGCCCTAGTAAAAACGGGTGTGGCCCGTACCCTATCAATAATGGGGGAGAATGACAACTTATCACGAAATAATGACTTGCAAATGACAAATAATATACGTGCTAATAAATTTTCTTTTTCTCAATTTATAATAAAATCTTCTAAAGTTGTTGTAGATCTTTGTGGATGTGAAAAAAATTATCACAATAAATAACTGGAATCATTCCTAATTTATATCTTCTGATTTGCAACATACTACTCAGATTAAAGCTGAAGAATAAAGTAATTTTCAGAAATTTCAACACTGAGATATATAGACTATGAGTTGAAGGCATATTATTTTTTATTGATGTTTAAAATAATGGAATGATATCTATTTTACAAAATCATTCAAAAAATAAGAAAATAACTTTGAAATCTAAATGAATTTATATTTATATGTAAATATATTTTTTAAAATATATTTAACTCTTGAACCACAGCAATGTGTATCAAGATAGTATATTACTTTAATCTATATTGAATCAAGAAAAAAAATCAAAATTTAGAAAAATAACTTAAAATTATATTGAATATGAATAAAAATTGAATTTTTATATATCATCTATAATTCATCATCTTAGAAATTATAAGAAACTGTTGATAGAATTGAACGAATTAAGAGGTGCATTTTTAGCACATTTTTTCTCTATGAATTTTTATAAAAAAAATTCATACAGTAGATAATCATATAGCTTTTCACTTAAATTTCTCCTGTTCTCACATTTGTGTGTACAAAGTTAAATTTCACTTTGATACTACAAATATACTGGAGAATGAAATGTCTTAAGTCTGAATGCATTTAAAAGTAGTATGCCTTCTGGATTTAAATTACCTCTAAAATTGTAATTGCTTATCTTTACCAATTACAAAATGTACCTATTATCACTCTCTTGTTATCATCTCTACTGATATTTTCAAATTTTCTTGACATGACTGTCGGTATACAAATTCTTTCATATTTGATACTCAGCACATATCTCTTAACGTGGTATTTGTGAGATTTATCAAACCCATCATTTGATACAATAAGCTTCGATAAAAAAAAATGGAATTAAAATACTAAAAAAGTTACTTTCAATATTTTTTTAACATGAGTTATTATATTATAATCCACTTGTTAATTTGGAAAAATAGAATATTTTTTCAAAAATATTTTATATTTTTAAATATTGATATATTATGAGAAAACATGAAAGATTTTGCTTATTTTATTTTTTTGAGGTAATTTTATCCAAAAATTTATAAATTAATTTTAATGAATTTTTTTATTTTTTAAATAAAATTATAACAAGACGTATTTTTGATTAAGACAATTCAATTTATCTGGTTTTTATTAAATAAATATTGATTTTATAACATTAAATTTTCTTATTTGAAAAAATGTCCATAAAAATTATCTTTTTATTTAATCTCAAAAAGCGAATATTTTAACAGATGAAAATTTTGAAATATCATTGAATTGAACACACAATCATTTTTTTTGGCCATTTTTTTTCTTCATATAAAAATTAATATTTATCGCAGTTTTTACATAATCGATTAAATTTTAATTCTTCTTGGAAAAAACCTGTGTACAAAAGAAGAAGAAGATAATAAGGTAATGATTTTTTGAATAAAATATTGAGAAAAACAAATCTCAGCAAAGTATTTACTTGGAAAGGTTACTGGTATTATGAGCATGTAATAGTATTTCATTTAAAACCGTTACGAAATTTGTTGTTGATGATGAGATTAAAAAATTCAATCAAGTAGCTATTGTAGAAAACGAAGATAAAATACATCAACCCACCTTCATTGTAAGATCATGGCTATGAATGTCAATTATTGAATTAACATTGTAAAAGTTAAGTGAAGCCCTTTATTTTCAAATAATAATCTGAATATTAATTTGATTTAATACGAATACAGTACATATACTTTGGTTACCCGTTCACATTATTTATAGTAATTTCTTGTACCAGTAACCAGGAATATCATTATCACAACGGATTCGGTAGTCTGAAAGGTTTCAGACTTTTCAACGAAGAATTCCTAAAACATTATGTGATCATAGTTGTTGTTTCAAAAGTTCAAAGAACTACATGTGACAAATAAAAGTTAAAGTTCTAGTCGATTTTTACTTATTACTGTAGATTTTTTAAGTTTCGATTTGTTTACACAAGATACATAATTGACATTTCCTATGTACTATCATTGGAACTGCCTTTATCAAATTTTTTTCCATTCGAATAAGATTTTTTGATGCAATATCAAACTGTAGTTTTCGTAGGTGGAAATCGTTGCTTTTGACAAATATAAGATTGTCAAAGGTGAGGTCTTTTTATTAAACTTAATGGATTATAGGGATTAGACTAGAGTTGGAGACGCAAGTCTTGTAGGGCTTGGATGAGAGTAGGCTCCGGAGCAAGGGCACTGTACACAGACTGAGGGCCGTCGGTACACCAGGAGATAGCGTCGATGATATACAGGGCTGACAATTCACCGTGAGAGGACATTAATTTTTGTCTGTAGTCAATTGGAGGATCTCCTGTCTCCAGGGAGATTCATGGGTCGAGAGGACGGTGACGTGGAATCCTTCCGACGGTGGAGATTTGGATCTTTCTAGACTCTGGCTCCCTTATCCGACGACAGCATCACTTCCACATCTAACGTCCATATGTTTTTCCAGAATTTTCTTTTGTCGCTATATACGAAATCTATAAAAATGCGAGAAAATATTACGGAAAATTAACGGACCAACGAACCAAGTGGAGAAGTATCATGAAGGTGCATGGAGCTCAGTCTTTGAAGAGAGGGTGAGGTTCCATCGCCTGCGGCTCTGGAGTTTGTCCAGGGAGGGGCTGGAAGCCGCGAGCAATTTCTTCGCTAGTCGATCTAATCAGTGGAGTTGCAACCAATTTTCAGGGCCAGTGGCTTGGCAAACGACGGGATTTGGAATTTCCATGGCGACCTCCATGGCGACGCGCGCCGTGGTGCCTGCTGTGACCAATGGCCCTGGGATTAGGAGCTCCTCTGCAGCAGCCGGAGGAGCGGCGGAGAGTAGCGCAGCGGCCATGGTTGCTTCTGTCAGACCGAGGTCGAGTTCTCTGAGAAGTGGATTTTTGGGCTGCAAGGTGCAAGTAGGAGTTGTTGCCAACGTTGCCGCAGCGGGAGTGGGGAAGAAAAGAGTCGCGAATGCAGGACGAGCCAGGGCTGCTTCTGAGGTTGGTTGCATATGAAGTCCGAGTTCTTTCGAAATGCTCAACGACCTTGCAGACGTTGAGATTTGCAATTTTGCCTCTCTGAATAGGGTCTTGTCCCCAGCCATGGAGCCATGCTTAGGCACACACTTAAGGAATTTGGAATAATCACCTTGATTTTTCCTTGTTGAATCTCTAAGCCGAGTAGATTGATAGAGGCTGAAGTGGTTATACTGAACGCAGAATCAGAGCATGTTTTTCATCCTCTTCTCTTATGTGTTAGAGATTCTTTGTGGGATTTTTCGGTTTCGAATTCGTGTCGAGCATCTTAGCGATTTGGACAGGGGGTTTAGGGTTTTGTTATCACTTTGAGCGTATATTCGGCCATTCCTTTCATTCCTGGGAATCACGGTTCTCTGTTGTTGCTCATTGAAGAATGTGCTTGTTGAATAAATTAGACTCCGGGTCCCTGAATTTAAAGCAGAATTTTTTGGTCATATATTCCGAAGTAGCTCGCTAAAGGATCGTGTGGAGTCTAAATTTTGAGAGAATTCCCCTTGCAGGACTATTATAACATTCTTGGAGTATCGAAGAGCGCCGATAAAGCCGAAATTAAAAGTGGTGAGTTTGGTTTTCTTCGGCGAAGTTTTGGACCTCAGGTCTTCCTTAAGGCGCTGCCGATTATCTTCTCTGCATATTTTGCGCACTGAAGATACGGCTGTCGATTTAATTGTTTTTTCTCCCTGAAACTGACTTTTGCCTTTTTTTTGACCGATGTCATTCAGCGTACCGGAAGTTGGCACGTCAATATCACCCAGATGTAAACAAGTAAGAAAGCAATTTATCTAAGCCTTACTCATGGGTGTGTACTTAAATTGCTTTGTATTGACATCAAACTTGTCAAGCATGACGATTTCCTTGCTTAATTGTTTTCCCTTTCATTATTCCCACACCCTGAATTGTTCGGTGCTGACATTTTTGAATTGCATTGTGCTGGGCCTATCGTTTGCAGGGAGGCTGGAGCTGAGCAAAAGTTCAAGGATATTAGTAATGCCTATGAGGTACTCCTCAAAACATGAACTGGCATTCGACATATCTTTCAACGTCAAGCAACACCTTCGTTTTTGATGTAGACAATTGGATGATATTTCTTCATTGGGTGTTGCTTTGAGTGGTGTTTTCTATCACCTTCCGAGTAGAAACATTAAGTGATAAGTGCAAGCAGTATATTTCCATAATTGTCAGCGACCTATCTTCATTAGGTTCCTGCCATGTCTTTTCGACATCTATCTAACTGGGCAAATTGTTGTATCCTTAATCCAAGTGAACTCCCTTGATTAACTATCTGCTTTCCTTGCTGTCTGCAGGTGCTGTCCGATGATGAAAAACGATCATTGTACGATAGATATGGCGAAGCTGGGCTCAAGGGCGCTGGAGCCGGAGCTGCGGTATGTGTTCCCTTTCTTAAGCTCAAGTACTTTTGAGAAAATAGGAATTTTCTGGTTTGATTGCTGAGTCTTTTTTAAGGTGGCCATCTTATTTGAAGCGGAATTTTTGGTCTGTTCAGGATTTCAACAATCCCTTCGATCTGTTCGAAACATTTTTTGGAAGTATGGGTGGAATGGGAGGAAATGCCAGAGCTCAAAGAAGCCGTCCTACGCAGGGTGATGATGAGAGGTATGACTTGCTCCTTGACTTCAGAGATGCCGTTTTCGGAACAGACAAAGATATAGAGGTTACTCGCCTCGAGTCATGTAACACGTGCAACGGTTCCGGAGCCAAACCGGGAACAACACCCACAACCTGTAACACTTGTGGAGGACAAGGGCAAGTGGTTTCGACAGCACAAACACCTTTAGGTGACTTTCGGCAGGTGGCCACCTGTCCTGCCTGTGGAGGAACAGGTGAAAACGCCACGCCCTGCAATACTTGTGGTGGGGATGGCCGGGTGAGGAAAACGAAGAGAATAAGTCTGAAAGTACCAGCGGGTGTTGATTCTGGGAGCCGTCTCCGGGTTCGATCCGAGGGTAATGCTGGTCGGCGTGGTGGCCCCCCAGGTGATTTGTACGTGTTTATCAACGTCCGATCAGATCCGGAGTTGAAAAGGGATGGAAACAACATTTTGATTTCTAGCAAGGTGTCGTACATCGATGCAATCCTTGGAACAACGGTTAAGGTCCCAACTGTGGACGGCACTGTCGATTTGAAAATACCCGCCGGAACACAACCGGGAACAACACTCGTCATGGCCAAACGTGGAGTGCCTTTGCTAGGAAAGAATAATCTGAGGGGAGACCAACTAGTTCGAGTACAGGTAGAGATTCCGAAGCGGATAAGTAGCGAAGAGAGAAAATTGATTGAAGAGCTCGCAGCACTCAGCAAACCGAAGGCCGCTGGCAGCAGGTGCGTAAATTTACTAAGGACGTAAATTTTTTGTTATTGCTGTCAAAGCCATGATAGGAGGTGACGTGGATGATTTAACGCAGACATTTAGAGAGAGATGTGATTAGTTTACGTGAAGGTGAACTGTCCGTCTCAAGTCCCCGTTTTGATTTGTTCTGTAAGTCCTCCCACTGGGGAAGTAGACGTATCTGTTGTTGTCAAGAGCGTCTCTTTTTTTCCAGTCTTTTCATCCTTGGTACTTGAGTATGAGAGGAGAGCATTGTGAACGGTAGCTATCCAGTCTCGCAGCACTCGTTTACAGTCTGGGGCCTATCAACTTGGACGTTAGACCTCTTGCAGCATATAGGTCTGTCTCGTGAAACTAAAGTGAAACCGTAGGTAACGCAGATTCTTTCTGTATACCCTGTAGCTCTAGTGTAGCTCAGATGAACCTTTTTGATATCGATTCATGGTGGATTCGCAACGCTGCTTGGCAATCAAAGCAGCTGTCAAGGATATATGCTCAGACCTTGTTTTATCCACAGATTTGTGCCTACACGTCACTCGCTGTGCCTACACGTCACTCGCTGACATTTATAGAACTCGTTTGATACCTGAGCTAATCAAGTTTCGTTGTGGGATGGTTGCAGGGTGTAAGAAACCGAATACGAGGGGGGTTTAAAACTTAGTTCTAGAATGGCAAGAAATAAACTGCTAAAATGACTAAGGTATGTCGACAACTGTCTCAACGTTGAGAACTGAAAATTGCTGGCCAAACTTGAAGGCTAGGCCTTAAAATGCAGTTTACAGAAGCGGACGTGTCCTTGGCGAGCATAGTTAGAGATCATTCTTGTACGTCATGTATTGGTATCAAAGTTGTCTACATTTATTAGCTTTCGGGAAGCTTTTTTCCCGCTCAGGCTCGCCTTTCACTTGTAAGAGTTTCACACGTAGAGCATCATTCACTGAGGCCGGTGAACTGCCTGAGTGAACCAATTCAATGACATTTGTCAAAGAATTTTGCCGTATACTAAAATACAATTTTTCCTGACACGTTGCCTTCGGTTCATCTTCTTAGCCTGTCATGTGCTCTTTTCGAACTTCGTTCATTTGTACCAGTATATCTATTTTATGCACTTTTACTTGTGCAGGAGATTTTCAAACCTTACTATTTGAACTGCTTTCCCTTGGATTGTTTTCGGGAATGCCTGCCTCTTTATTACGATCATTGTGCTCTGGAAGAATCAGGAGTGACAAGGCTCTTGGTAATTAGTCTCGACTCACTATGGATGAGACTCCGCGACTTGAGAACTGCCCTCGCCGCTTCTGTACCGTCGATGAGGTCTTACCCAATATCACAGAGAATTAGGTGCAACACTCACTGACGAGCCTTCATTTGACCGCAATGTGGACTTGGGCTTGTTGTCATGGGGCAGGCATTCTTGACTATTAGAAGGATTAGAAATTAGAGCGGGGTTCGAAGTTTGGAAGTACCTAAAGCCCAGAAACGCTTACCTCAGCGGCTTAAGCTATCTAGAGTAGTAGAGAAATAGACAGCGATTTTTCTGTATTCTCCCATTTTTTCGAGGGGTTTGTTTAGTGCGGATCTAATCGACGGGCAGGATATCTTTTCCAGCGAAACTACTGACCAAAATCTGGAGTATGACTTGCATTAATTCTCCTTTTATTTTGAAATGTCCTTTGTCTTCCGGTGACCAGAGCAGGTCCTGCCCTTCCTGCACTTGTTATGAGACTGTCGGTAGTTTCTTGACCCCGTAAATCCTTTACTCGATCATTCTGACTGGTAGTTGTGTGAGGTCAATCTTTTTTTGCAACTAATCCGGAATATATCAGTCACATACTGAGGTATTTTGGTTGTGTTGGATTTACTTGACCTCTGTTCTTTCGTGTGGGAAAAGAAAGGAGCCGCAGGAAAGTAATCCACTTTCGTTTTATGTGAGGTCATATGTATGGAAGCGGGAGTACTGAAGGCATGAGAAGGTTTTTGATTCCCACCTTCGATTCCACAAATACAGATAGGTAGGAGAATATAGTGGAGGGAAGTGTATGGTAGATCGTAGTGAACTTCATAGTGCTATGAAGTTTCAAACGTCCGCTACTCCAATATTAGTCTATGGCCAAGAAGTCGAAAACTTTACATGGGTATACAGAGAATTGCAAGAGTTGTATCGTACTTCAGAATTGAAGGTGGGAGGACTCGAGAGATACATCAAACCCATGAGGATATGAATAGAAGGATATTATGCCAAACAAAGAGCTGTTGTTACCTAAAGGTCGTCTGAACCCTATTATTGCTTCACTCCTGGCTCGATGGTCGTGAAAGTCCGATGGGATGAAGTAAATTCGTAACAACAAAGCTGCCAGGGTATTGTTCTTAAATTTTGAAAGGCAAATAGAAAAATTTCAGCATACTCGCCGACATTACATAGTAAATCGTTGCAATCTTGGACAGACGCTGAACATTCGGATAGGAAAAATAGACCAAAATTGATGTTCCAAATCCTTATCACAATGTTAAATGAGCAATTTAAATGAGGTGTCGAAAGTTCACAAGTTAGATATCAAGCTTGTACAAGAAGACATCGCACCTTCAATACACTGGTTAAACTGCGTTGTATAGAGTGATCACTTCTTACAATTGTGTACTTACACGAGATCAAATACAATTTACGGCTCTGCCAAAGTTACACATACCTTCATCACATTCCAAGATGTGTAGAAGACGAGGTCTGACCCACGTGGGAAAAGAGACCATCATGTAAACGATATCTTTTGCTTAAGATTGACCACTAGCTTTTGGTTTTGGTTGTTGAGTTTCTGACATTCATGTCAAAGTCCGCTCCTCTAGCTTCTTGTTTTCTTTCGTCGATCGAGGCAAGCTTAACTTCCCAACTCACATATTACTTTACCTATCTTTTCGGAAATACCAGGCCTCAAGTCTACAAGGTGACAATAAATGTTACCTCTTTCGTATGAACATAGACACACTACCTCATATTTCTACCCTCCGGCAGAACGTTGTGGACGCAAGTACTCGGTGGCTAGGATGCTGAGGTACTATTATCGGTGTGTAGTAGGTTAATAACTCTCGACATTCTGAAGAACACTTTGCACAATGTTTCTTCCACCTGTCTTTGCTTCTGGGAGACAGAGAATCTCACAAACAAAAATCTCAAAAACTTTCCATGGTTTATTGGAGCAATTGGAAGTCATAATACTTGAAATTTCACATTTCTTTATTTCGACAAGGAGCACATGTGAGCTGTACATGCATACACGGTTAGTAGCAGCTTCCTTAAGAGATTGACCGCTAACTAATTTCAATGCGCTCCTTGTCTAGCTCCGCTTCACAGTTAAAAAATCGGAGTGACAAGCGAAAGGCGCTACATCAGACTGCCGATTTTGGTCGACGCCACACGATCGTGAGGCCAAACCCCATGAGAGACATCAACACCGTCTGTTACAACAAAATCAGACGCAACGGTCGTCCAGTAGACGAAACAAAATGAAGAATTTGTGAGTCACTCTTCTCGGAGTAAATTGTGGGAAGCTAAACATGTTGCAATTCCTACATATTGAACTTAAAAGAAATCTACTCTCGAAATCTTCTGATAACGAAGACGCTTGATTCTAGAACAGACTAATCGTATAGAAATCTGGAACATGTTTGTCTTCTTGCAGTAGGAAACCTCAACTGAAATCTTGAAAAACTACAATCCTGCTTTAAAACTGACTAGATTAGCAGCTCAGGTAAACGATGCCATTCATCTCGCCACGCATGAAGCAGAGGGTTTTCGTGACGTGATTAAAACAAGCTGAAACTGCAAAGTACTGAATTGATCTTCTCATAGTTTACAGGATTCTGAACTAAGTGGTTAAACAGACCACAATTGCAAGGTCGAAAATGATGAGCATAGAATCATACCGAGATTGCTGAAGGGATGCCCACAATAGGATCTTCGAAAAATCTGTTTGCCAACGCAAGTCCTAATAAACCACTTTGCATTCCTGGTAAAGTAACAGAAACATCCCATTCATATGTCTGTCAGTCATGGCTGTCCTTAACTCGGTTCAGTACGGTAGAATCAACAGCAGGAGACAGATGGTTTATGACTGTTAGAGGCGTTACCTGTTGTAAAACATATTGTTTTGGCCAGTCCATCTAGATCTGGTTCTGAAGGAAAGACCACCTCCGTAGCCTTATACCCTGCTATGAACGCCAGGAAATGAAAGGCAAACACTGGTAGAAGGACCATAAGACCAAATTGTGAGCGGAGTACAACAATATTATGAGACATGGGAGCTCCTATGCATGCGCATGTCACCAGCACTGACGAGAGGGGTAGAGTTGGTCGAATTGCTCTCGATACGGCTGGCAGAAATCTGCGCAGAGTGTGCATTTTAGTAAGCAAGCGTAATTATATGGACTTCTGTAAATGTGCCATCACTTTGCGCGCGGTCACATAAGTGGACAATGAATAAATAGCCATATCCATTTATTACGAGACATACTTACACATGTCAGAGACAAGAAGGGAACTAAAAGGGAATCGATTAGCGCATATATTGAGAGTGGAATCCATGCTGGAATAAGAACAAGACGAACGCGGGAACTTCAACCTTGCTTTCATGTGATTTATCCTTGTACAACAGATACAAAACAGACTAACAGAACTGATGCTTCAGTATTTTGGCACTGTCCTTACTTGTTGATGATAAGGCCACCTGCGATAGGCACCAACACAATTTGCGTGATGCTGGCCATCATGGCTGGGACATCCACAGGCAACCTCTTTCCCAGAAGCAGAAGGGAAAGTGCAGGAGTGACTACCACGGCGGATATGGTAGAGAGAGCCGTCATCACAATGCTAAGTGGAGCCATGCTGGGCTCGACGAGAAACGTTGCATAGTTCGCCAACTGAGCACCGCTTACACATGCTACCAGCACCAACCCAGACCCTGCCGCAGCGGAGGCGAGGTAATGGAGAACTTATTAGTACTTCAGCTTGCATACATTCAGAACATTGCTCGAATTTTGCTGGAGTTCCGGTTGCCTTTTCCGACGCTTTCGTAAGCTTCGAGCGAATGAGATTCAGAACTCTGAACATTTCTCATGATCTTTGCGAAGAAAAAAGCATTCGAAGTTATTGCGCTCTGAGAATTCAGTAGATTACTATGTTGGACAACAAGAATGCTGGGAACGTACCAACAGCTTTCGGAAGGTGGAGGACTTGAACGGAGAGGAAAGCAACTAGTAAACCCAGAAGAGGCTTGCAAACAAACTGGCCGGCATATCCCAGAGCTATGACTCCTGGCCGGTCGAGGGCCTTGCGGAAGCTGTCTATGCTCAGATTGACCCCAACAGCAAACATCAAGAATCCCAACGCTGGAGCATAGTACCTACATCACGTGAGAAGATTTTGCCTCCAAGTTAGCACACCCGAGCTTCGTCATGATGGGAAGAAAAACAGGGGACACAAATCGGTCGTCAAAGCTTGCCAAACTGATTGAATGAAGAAGAGCAAATGCACGGCCTATGAAGTACCATAAGATTCAGGGATGTCAAAAGCGAAAATAGCAGATGGTAAAAGAAGAAAGTTCGGACTTTGTGGTAAACCACGTAAAAGAAGGTGGATAAGCAAAAGCCAATGCTGTGCTTGCAACAATGGCATATGGAAAGTAAGCATTTGCATTTAGCAGCCCGTTCTTCAGAGCCTCCACCAATGTCGTCGCTTTTTTCTGGTGAGTAGAATCAGGCAACGAAAAGGTAGCTGTGTTTCAGTTTACCAACAGGTGAAAGTTTACAAGTAACAAATCCGATTGCTGAATGTGACTGTTAGTACCTCAGAAGACGAGTCGGCTGCGAAATTTGGTTCTCCAACATTTTCACTGCTGCACTTTGTCACCCCATTTAATTTCCTGTTCTTCTCCAAAAGGTTGTTATTCAGACCTGGAACAACATGTCAGTGTACCAGCCAGTCAGTCATCAGGCCTTGGAATTACTTTATTCCGATTGCAATGTCTTTATGGGGGCTCTTTCCACACGCACTGCTCGTTGCAGGTACCAGCCTCTCTCGAATTGACAACATGTCTCTAATGACGATATTAGTCGCCTGATTGTTTCAGCTGAGGATCAGGCTACCCCGTACCATGCAGGAAAAACCTCTGAAAAACCTCTGAAAAGTCCGTCAGAAACCTTCCAAAATTTTGACTGGAGATTGGAAAGCTTTGAAAAGTGACACAACTCAAATCTGAACCCTGGGAAATCCACTAGTGAATAAATGGGTACATATAGTACCGAGTTCATTGCATAGTATCCTTGAAGGCGCAAAGCCCAGTGTCGATAATCCTGTGGGAACACAGAAATCCAGTTCGTCAGTGGTGCCACGATCATTGAGATTTGCCTTTCTAGTCTAATTCCTCCACTTTAAATACTAATAAAAGGGAAATTACGTCAAGAAATGTGACTTTGAACGACTGTATGACTGACAAACACTCAGATGTGGAGAACCATCGAACTGGCAGAGAGCTCTGTGAACTCACTTGCCTCTCGTGGCATCTGTCGTATCTGAGTTCTACCCATGATTCCACAAACTCCATGGTGAGATAACGATCTCTGCTCAATGTTGAGCCGAATCGGCCGAGTTTGAGCACAGAGAGCCATGACTAAAGCTTGGCGATCGCAAGATGTCCGCAGGTCACTCCTGCACGTAGAACTGATCACTCAATCCGAGTCGAGAGGCGCTCTAGGACAACACAGCGAGATTTTTCCAGAGATCGCTGTCTAATTGGTGAATTCCTGCAGCCGGAGAAGCTACTTTTGAAGCTTATCACGTATTCAGGAATCACAATAGCCACTGGCTTCAGCAAACGCTCAAATCACCACTAAATCGCTCATTCGGGCCACAATCATCTGCCCTCCTGCGTCGTCCTCAGTCACTGTTTACGAGACTACGAGCGCCAGCAATTATTGCTGGTCGTCGGTCAATTCCGATGACATTGAAGCCACAGAGAGCAAATAGCATCTGCAGTTTACGGACACACAATACGCCCACCAAATCACTCTTCGCAGGCAGGCAGGCAGGCAGGCTGTCAGCTAGCAAAGCACTACCCTAAGGCAACGAGAGGCGAACAGAATTTCCAGTAATTTCATACATTCATGCAATTTCAGTCACCACTGCGCTCCCGCAATCGCTCGCCCCGAGCGCAGACGATGGCCCTGTCGATCGATGAGCCCAAACCTCGGACGCTGCAGCCTCTCGACAGCAGCAGGCAGCACCGCCCAATACATGCCTCGCTCATGCCAAGTCAGCGCCTCGCCCTCTCTCCGAGCAAAAACTCACCGGAAGTCGATCCGCAAACTTTGTTTGTACTTGAGACTTTCTCCGGCTTCCGCACCTCCGCCCTTCCCCTCCCCAGCCCTGCCTAATCTGCAAGTAATCCTGTTTTGGTAAGAGATTAAAATAGTTTCATTAAAAAAGTGCGCAAGGTCCCGGACCATGACAGCGATATGAGCCTTTCTCAGTACGGGACTCGTCGATCGATATTTTTCGTTGGCATGTGCAAGTTTTCTTAATTGTGAGTCTCGGCCATCAAAAAGCGTCGGATCGGAGCGCGGAGCAGTGCTGCCATGGAGTGTTTGTTGACGTCTGGGGTGGGCAGCGCATGTCTGCGGCCAGGGGCTGGGGTTGGGGTTTCAGCCCAAGGCCAATGGCGGAGGGCGTTTTTTGGGTCGGATCGAGAGGTGAAGCTGCGCAAGTGCTGGTCAGAGAGAAGGGCGAGGAGATTCGCGACGAGTGCATCTGTTGTGGAGTATGATGTGGTGATTGTCGGGGCGGGCGTCATCGGAGTGGCGACCGCGCACCATATTCTTACCACCACTCCCTTGTCCGTCGCTCTGGTCGATGCTCGTGAGCCTTGTGCGGGTGCGACCGGTGCAGGTATGGGCCAGTTTTTTCATTTAAGCCTCTGGTAATGTCTTCTTGGAGATCGTGAATGACATTTTCTCTGCAGCACTATTTATGGCTGCTCAACGGGGATAACAAAATTTTCAAGACGAGCTGAAGCCCAGTGCAAGCTCTACCATCTTTGCATCTGAATGGAAAGCCTGTAGAACATTCTCATACGGAACTCCGAATCATAACCTGTCCATATTTCTCCCAGCAAGTCTGCCCATCGTGATAGACTATATTTCTGTCGAGCCTTGCCTTCATGTGTTGCCTTGCCTTGACTTTTTCCGTGCCTGGACCTAAACTTGAATTCTTACGATGGGATTACAGCGCAGTCCGGCAGCAAAATCCTGATGTGATGACAATGCTTCCAGCTGTGTTATATCATTTGTGCAGTTTGGGCAAGTTGGATCAAAGTGTGAGTGCAAGTGTTGAGAGTTGCAAGTGCAAACTCTTCGAAGTTGTCAGGTTTTGAGAGCTTGCAAGTGTTCATTGTTGCCTTAAAAATCCCTTTTACTGGAATACAAAAGCAAGCAGAGATTGTACTTGTGTTGGTGACTGAACTTCTTGTATGATGATTGTGATATTCAGGACAGGGATACATCTGGATGACCCACAGGAAACCGGGAACTCCAGGATGGCATCTTGCAAAGCGCAGTAAAGCCCTTTGGGAAACCTTTGCCATGGAAGTAGAGGACAGCGGTTTGAACCCGACAGAAGCACTAGGCTGGAGAAAAACAGGTGCGTCCACGCTGCATCACTATCGTTGCTCAGTGTTTCAACACCGTTTGAATCTTATGCCCAAGTTCATTGAATTTACATTACCTTGTTTTCGTACGCGAAGAAAGTGAACACGGTTTTGAAGGATGGTTCACACAATCCATGGAGAGATGTTCAATGATAAGAATGAATCATAGCAATAAGCGGAGCTTTAAAAAGAGACTATTGCTGCTGGATGTGCAGCGGAAGTTAATTGGGTGCAGGTACGTTGTCTCCCTGTTAGGTAGTCTCTTGGTCGCCTCCACAGATGAGCAGGCAAAATATCTACAAAACTGGGCTCAAGTTCTCTCGGAAGCAGGAGCGGCGACAGATTTCTTGACACATTTGGAGGCTGTAAACATGGAACCGGCTCTTGCAACCGGCTGCCTTACTGCAGCTGCGCTATGCCATGATGACCTACAAATCGATGCCAGATTGACAATTGACACTCTACTGCAGGTGAAACACCTTGTAGTTTTCCTCAATATATGTTCCTACCGTCCATTCGGCTGAGATAAGAGCTAACCTCATCAGGTCCTCTATGTAAACATTGTATCAAATCAGGATAACTGTGACTTCGGAAGTTCGATAATGGATCCAGAAAATTTTAAGAATTGACATCTTTACAGAATGTATTGATTCGTGTTTAAGAGAGTAAGAGATTTCGAATCAAGGGGACGTTACAAGGAGCTCTTTCAGAGTCCAGTCCAGCACTTCATACGGTATGTAGAATTTAAGATCATGAAGCTGTAGATCTATTTGCACCATTTCCCTCTTGCTGCCCTTATCGACCAAGTCAATTGTGAATGAGGAGAGTTATGTAGAAGAGACACAATACAATAGCACGATTTCTTTTGATACGATGCTCAGCAAAATATCAATTTCAAACTAACTTCAGTGATAATAGTTCAGGTGGTTGTGATCACGGATGAAGCTATTATCGAGTTGTAAAATCAGGGCTTACGACATGTACTTGCTTTCTGTTGTTTTATGGTGAAGGTCATCAAGAGAAGGAAGGTTAATTGGAGTTGAGATCCCTGAAGGAAAGGTCTTTGGCAAGAGTGCAGTAGTCATTGCAACTGGGGCTTGGAGTTCTTTACTAATGAAAACTGCCACAACCGAGTGGGGAATGTCACTTGTTCCTCCAATGAAACCTCGTAAGGTGATTTCACTCTTCCTTGAACCGTGTCACCTAGTCTCAAGAGGAGAGCACGGATTTTAGCGACTTTATAGATACTGTCTGTCTATCAAGAAAAATTGAAGAAAGTTTTATAAGTACGAAGTCATCTTTTCGCCAGGATGTAGTCTAAGTATTGTTCCTAAACAACATTCAGGGACATTTGCTTGTTATTGAGGGAACTCATGACATTCAGCTGAAGAGCGGAATCATGGAATGCGAGTACCTCTCCTATAATTCTCAATCAAGTAAATCAACAGAAGCTACAACGGAGCCAGGTCCTTCCATTGTCATGACGGCCACCTTGGACCCAAATGGGAACCTTCTATTAGGTGAGATCTTCTAATCTGTCTTATGGAATCGTGGAGGAAGATCTGAAATGAGGCCGTACACAAATCTTCATCCACTCCTTTTAAGAGTTTTCACGCCGTCTAATACGTTCGGTCACGGTTACGGAATTTGTTATTTAGTATGGGCCAGCATGTCAACGATATGTGAGAAAGCCAATGAGAATGGACCTTACTCCGTCAAGCAGAGAGTGAAAGCTTACACTACCATCCGAATCCTATTTAACGAGATTACTGTTTCAAGCCTCGGCCTCTGTCCTCATCTACTGCTTAGGTCTTAAGAGTTCTGAGATTTGCTACCAAGTCCCCTATTTCCCTCGCATTCTGCAAGCATCTTAATCGCTTTTAACGGATTGTAGGTTAGATAGGTTAGATACAAATACATATCTCCTGTCTCTATGTTGTGTTTAAGGCTTGCAACTAGAAGGCTTGACGTTCGAGCCCCAAATGTAAGTTTGAATTATAGTAACAGAGCCTAGACCTGTTCTAAGCTCAGTACATTTATGCAGGTAGCTACAGAGAATTTGCAGGCTTTAACATCGATGTTCAAGACGAGGTCATAGAAAAGATGGTGGAAAGAGCAGCACGTTTTTTACCCGGAGTTTCAAACATGGAGGGGAGAGTACGGACAGGCTTACGGCCATACAGTGGGTTTCCCCATCCCCTTTCTTCTTCCTCTAATGGAGTCTCATAAGGTTGTGTTCCAATTTGCAAATAAAGTTTCGCACAGAACGTCAGTTGTCAGGAAAGGGTAGCATTGTTGCCGAGGCATGGTTTCACACAAGAGCTCTAATATATTCTCGATGTCTTGGCAGTCAATGATGGAAGGCCTATGATAGGTCCAGTGGACGATGTACCCGGCCTTATATTTGCAACTGGCCATGAAGGGTCTGGATTATGCTTGGTGAGTAAAGACGTCACTGATTAGGCGCATTTCAGTTGAAGAACTGGACGGTGTCTAGGAAGCAGGATTCTGGTGCATATACTGCACCAGAATCCTGCTTCTTAGACATCCAACTTAAACGCCCTTTCTTGTAATGACTTCGCTTTACGTAGAAGTTTTTGAATCAGCTCTTCGTAATCTCTACTTCGAGGTTACTAATAAGGTTCTGTTTGCAGTCCCTTGCGACTGCAGAGATGGTAACGAATATTATTCAGGACGTTAAAGGGCCCGTAGAATCTGCACCGTTCCTGCCGAATGGGCGCTTGAGTTCTTCAACAATGTGAAGGACGCCGAACTGAGAAGATTGGAAAGAATCTGGTGACAACATATGGGATCACGTTTTCTAATTATTGCAAGCATCGTACGTTCATGAAAGCAATAGAGTTCCTCTCAAGTCGTGTTGAACAGTGGTGGCTCACTTAGAATCATGCATTTTGCTGTGCAAGAATTTCTCGGGAGCATTTAACTTGTGCGCCAAGGAGGCGTTGATTGCGCTGAGGTTTGACAAAGAGATTAGCTTCGCCATTTGGCGCATTTGCAGCTGACAGTCCTTAGCTGTAGTGAGGCACTCGCCGATGTGAATTACCTCATTCGGGTGACATCTACCTTTGTACATACAAAGGCTGGATTATCTTAGCAGCACAAATGAGGGATCTCGATACCCATGTATTTGAAGACGGTGATTTTTGTTCCATTCGCCGTCGTCCAATTATAATCATAATTATTTTTGTCTTGTGTCTTAGTTGGAATCACAATATATTCTTCGACGAAGAATATTGTTTCAACGTGAAGTAAGCTCATCTAGGTATCTAATGTTATAGTGAACAGTTATATTATGTAATAATACATGTGAATGTGTAACAGAAATGTAATATATAATTGAAATATGTGTAGTAAAGCTGTATAAATAATTGTCAGGTGGACATTTTGATTTTATTATGAGTTATCTTGGATGACTAAATGTAGAGTTGCAAAAACCAAAATTCCAAACGAAATAAATCAATCGTTTTTATTTCTCAGACTTTGAAAATATATGAAACTAAAGATATCGATGGTGGCAAATAAACAGAAGTGTAGTATGTATGATGTCTCTCTCGTGTATAGACTATTAATTGCAATAAATAATTATTATTCTACATAGATCATTGATTGGTACGATAAATAAATATTAATATTTTTAATAGTATTATGTGATAATTATATATATCCATCCGAATAGGTCAGATACCATGTGCCACAAATTAGCCATTTCGTTGCTTTTGTTATATTACTTGGTACCTTTTAAGTTTTAATAGATATCTATCACATTGTAAGGATACTACTCTTGAGATGCATGAAAAAAGCTTTTATTACTAGACTCTATCAACACACAGACCATGGGGAGTAATAGGCTTACTTTTGCAACGTGGAAGATTTTGCATGTCTCTAACATCTTCACTAGACAAAAACAAGAAAAAAACTGCATATGTCGAGAATTCAATGCCTGCATTTATTTATCTGAAAACTTTGTGAGTGCAATCTTGCCTAACAAATACCAAATGTCATATCTCAGCCCTATCGACAAATTAGCGTGTTATATTTCACACATGCACGCTGCAAGTGTCCATTGTTACCTCGGTAAAAAAGGGTGAGTTGCACTGTACTAACTTCGCACTTCCTCTGTATCTTTTACACTTTTCTTATTAAAAAAAAATAATATTTCATGATGAACATCCAAGCTAAGTGAACAAAGCTTATAACAATTACGACAGAGTAACTAGATTGTAGTTTCCCTTCCACAAAAGTGTAATTACCTTTTGAGTATTGTGAAAGAAAACCATTGTATTCACACTTCCCTTTCCTTTCTGGCTGTAGTACTTGCTGGTACCCATTACATGACATTAAATTCGCAGTTACAGTGTCTACCTTCTGTAGCCGGTCACGTGAGTTGAAGGGCTGAAGAGGAGGTCTTGGGTACGAGAAGGCCCCGTCCTTAGTACCGGCTATGCCCGGTAGAAGTCATCATCGGAAAGAGGAGAACGGGGTGGGGATGAACACCGGCCACACCCCATCCACTCTGTAGCTCGGAACACCTGAGGAGTTTCGAGAACCGGGGATTGCTCGCCGGGAGAGATTGCCGGCAACTTGGCCCGGTTTCTGGTAAACCCTAGCAAAGTCCTGCGCTCGCTCTGTCTTGGCAACGCGAGCTCGAGAAACCAGTTCTCTTTCCGTGTCGCGACGCGACACAGGTCACTGATTGCGATTTGAGTTGTCCCGGACTCGAGTCCGTGGTTCGAATTTCTCTGAAATTGATCGTTGACTCCCTTGATTCTGTTTGTTCAATCTTTACTGCTTCGAATTCTCTCTTTTAGGAGGACGTGATCAATTTGATCCATCCCTTGAGAGCTTCTTTTGAATTTAGGTCCGGAAGAAGGATTGAAATCGAGAAGAAGAGACTCGACCTGACGGTCGTTTGAGAAAAGTTCGGCAAAATGCCGCAGGGAGATCATATAGAGTTGCATCGTAAGCGGTTTGGATACCGTCCTGATTACTTCGAGAGAAAACGTAAAAAAGATGCCAGGGAGGTTCACAAGCGTGCGGCCTTCGCACAGAAGGCTTTGGGTATCAAGGGTAAGATGTTTGCCAAGAAGCGGTACCAAGAGAAGGCCACCATGAAGAAAACGTACGTATCTCGTTTCAATTTCAGCTTAGCCGATTTTCCACTAAACTGAAATTTCGATTCCATGAGCTCTAATTTGAAATGCACTTGTTTGACAATTTACAAAGTTAGTATTCGGTTTCTGTAATGTCTGCCAAGACGGAACTCATTGACTTGCGAGATAAACCAGAAGTAGATAATTTTGTCATATACGTGCACCTCCCTTGTTTTTTTCTTCTTCTTCTGAGGATATAGACCAGATTCCATTAGATATGGCGGTGGTCGTAACGATCCAATTCAATGCTTTCTGAAGCAATTTTAGTTTTTTAATGCATTCTGAGTTTTGGCCGCCGTTGGCATCTTTTCTCTCCCGCTTCTTCTTTTTGATCTGTCATTTTTCATACCACCCAACGTATTGAAGAATTTGGATACATTTCTGCCAGTCGCGCGTCCCACAAATCTTGGCATCAAATGCCTCGATCAATATGACCAGTTTACTGCCATCTCTGCAAGATACAGTTGTGTTTAAAGCTGACTTAAGATTGCCTAGTATAATTGTATGTTCTGTACATGAATTCGCGTTTGCGATGACTGCCAGATTTTAACTCTTGTTTTCATTCTTACACTCAAGGCAGGGTTAGTTCACTTGTCACAAAGCCAAGCAAATATAAGGTTCAGTGGCCAACTCAAAATTAGAGTCTAGAATCCGAACCCGACCAACTTACTTGCATTCTTGAACTCTGTAGGACAGAACTTCCAGCATTATCAACTGTAATTGCTGTCATTTGTTGATGCTGTGTACCCGTATTAGCCAGGGCTAACATCACGAGGTTTTAGCAGCAGTGTACACTAGTTGTTCCTTGTTTCGTCACTCTGTTTCCTGGGTGGTAGGTTTCTGTCATATTGACATTACCAGCATCGTAGAGACTCATATCGACCTCTGCTATACACAGTTAAGACTTCCTGTAGATTTAGATGTAGCTATCTCTTCTTGGAAATGCCTCCCTTTTTTTGGCAGCTCACTGTCCATTCAGTCTGGCAGTCATGGTATTCAGGGGTGACAAGCGGGCCTACATGGACCTCCTCATGAAGCGGACAGAGTGCCCCTGTCTGGGCACTCGAACTGGACGATTGGATAGAGTGTTAACGGTCCAGTCCAACTCTCTTAGCCTTTCTCATTAGTATATAATCAGTTGAACGCGGTTTGAATTGACGTAGAACTGCTTTCTCCCTCATCCCTTCAAATTTTTTTTCCTTGGCTTTTCACACTAGCACCGCTCAGCTAGGGCGTGTGTCCATGGTCTTCAGGCTGTTTGATCCATACGAATGAGTAGATTTATGTATTTATTCATTTTCACTGCATATGCTGTCAGGCCTCGATGTACATGTGCAAAGCAAATTGACAACTGCATTGGGGCAAAGATACAAATGTAAACTTCATTGCTGTGGATGGTTGCAGACTTGCCATGCATTCAGAGAGATCAAACAGGCACAAAGCAGACGATGAAGTCCAAGAAGGAGCCGTTCCTGCTTATCTGCTTGACCGTGAGCAAACAGCCCGTGCTAAGGTGAGACATTTTTCACATTTATACCACAAAGTTTCTAAGTGCAAGGCTGAGTTTGCCAGGCTTTCCCATCAAGTTTCTGTTCGTCTTATGTGATACTTGGATCTGAGAAAATGGGCGGCCTTGTAGGTTCTTAGCAACACCATCAAGCAAAAGCGTAAGGAGAAAGCTGGAAAGTGGGATGTTCCTTTACCAAAGGTGTGTGAGCAGTTCTTTCCTCCTCGATTGTCCAGTAGCTTCAGTCTATTACCCTTTCTCTGACTTCTTGTCGATGGGGATTGTGTTACTTTCTACATCTGGCCTCCAAATTTGGGGTTTTTGTGTCCTGCTTTAATTGTGGATGATAAGTCCGAACATAATTCACAGCTTCAATGGACGTTTATTCATATTTACGTGAGTGTGTTTGCAGGTTCGACCTATCGCTGAGGATGAGATGTTCCGCGTTATAAAATCTGGGAAAAGAAAGAGTAAGTTTTTTCGACACTCTTGGAAATCTTCAAAATACACGAAGATTGTGCTGTATCTTGCTTCTGTTATTCAAGTTTCAACCAGCGGTGCTCATGAGCTCTACAGGATATGGCAGCCATCGAGCTAGAATTGGTTTTTGCTTCCTCCTTTACTTCGGATTTCTCTCGTTATTTTCTATCCAATCTTATCATCCACAATGGCCGCTTACGCACGTCTTTTGCATGATCGCAGCTAAACAGTGGAAGCGACTTGTCACCAAGGTGACCTTTGTAGGACCCGGATTTACCAGGAAACCTCCAAAGTACGAGCGTTTCATCAGGCCGATGGCTCTTCGTTTCACCAAGGCTCACGTGACGCATCCAGAGTTGAAGTGCACCTTCAATCTAGAAATTATTGGTGTGAAGAAGAACCCTAACGGTCCCATGTATACTTCGATGGGTGTCATTACGAGAGGATCCATAATTGAGGTACGTCGCAACTCATACTCCAAACTTATTCTGAGGATATAACTTTGTATGCATATGTTAGGTGGACATGAGGAGGCTACTGGTTAGTCAATATAATAGCTACGTACAGCTATATTGTTCCCAAAAGTCCGGGTTTAAATGGAGTGAGTGGTAAACTCAGGACATGCAGTGTACATGCTTTAATGAGCTTTCGTTTATCATGTCTCGAGGGTCTCTCTAGGTAACTCAGGAAATGGAAACTTGATGTGCAGGTTAACGTTAGTGAATTGGGTCTTGTTACTCCTGCTGGTAAAGTCGTATGGGGTAAGTAACGACTTCTTCATTTGACCTTTGGTTGTTCCTACTTGGAATATGTACGTTCAAAACTTATCTACATGTGCTGTTGTTCTCAGTGAGGTAGAAGCGATTACCTGAGTCGAGTCTGAGTCGTACCATGGTTCTGTGCAGGAAAATACGCCCAGGTCACCAACAATCCAGAGAACGATGGATGCATCAACGCAGTCTTGCTTGTATAAATGCAGTTTGTACAAGCAGAGGAATTTGTTGCAACACTCTGTGAATCTGTATGAAATATCACTTTTTGTAACGAGTTTTATTCAGAGAGAAGGAATCTCTCTCTTCGGCTCCCTCTATTAATGCGAAATCGATTGTCCACAATGAATTTGTGTGGACTTGCACAATACTATATGGACCCGTGTTTCGTGTACTCGTGTTTTCTGTTCTGTTTCAGTAGCATGTTTAGTGGAATTTCTCTTATGAGATTTTGACCTTTTTCCCATCCGCATGTAATATCTTGCACATCTTCCTTTCTGACTTAGCAAAATGCGTTTCAGATCAAACAAGGTCGGCCTTGCACTGAATTTTAACGAGGTAGAAACTGAAAGGTCCACTTCTGCTCAGATTTAGGGATTTTCCAATCCAGACACGGAATTTAAAAAAAACCACTTGAAGAATCTTTCCTTAAAAGAAATTCTGAGAATCTCCACCGGAATCGAGTTTAACCTGCTCATGTCATCAATAAACAGCGTACAATGAAATCAATGTGTGCGAAGCAGCAATTCGGTGACAGTCTCCCCGGCCAAGCATGGGAATTTGGTCAAACTCAATAGAACCTGCGTGAGCTTGTTGAGAGCCGGATGTAATAACACCGGGGTAGAAAGCTGCAGATGCCAGTCTTATCAATGCGAATTCTTCGGACAGGTAACGAGTCTTTCGCGCAAACTCAATCAAGCAAATTTGGTACCCGCCATCATGTCGTCATAGCTCTTGTGATTAGTTCCTGGGAATCCTTGCCTTCACTCCCTTTTTTATTTAACTATTTCTCGCCTTTTTAAGGGAAGACCTGAACGCACTCGTTGGCGGGTCGGTTAAGAAACTATCTTTGCCGTGCTTTAGTGGTTTCATGATAACCCTTCCGCAAATTGTAAACATGTCATTATCTTAAAGACTTCCAGTGGATGTCCTTAAACCCCATCATTCCCACCTATATCTCTTTGGCTTTCTTACAACATCTGAGCAATGCGGTTGTATATCTAAAGCGAGTGTCCTCGAGAAATTTCTGCTTGGGTTGGGTCTCGGCAGAGTTGCACAGGATGGTACAATACGACGAAAACAGGATGATTGACACATTAGTGCAGGCAAATGTTACGTGAGAATTTTCTTCAGGGTTATTATGGCCTCGTGATTGTCTCATGAAATTTAACCCAGGCTTTATGATATAGATGGAGGTTGACAACACATTTATGCCTGAGTGCCTTTCTAGACAGACTAATTTTTCTTAGCTGCTTGCATCTCATTGCTGTCGTCTTGGTTGTTTGACCAGTGATTGCACACTGATATGGATTGCTTCCCTTTCGCTGCTTAATGTAAGCGTGATTACCTCTACTCTTCAAATCTGCAGGCTGTCAAACATCACCCAAGACTTTGAATTTTGACAGGTCCGAAATATTGGATGCAGTCTGTACTGTACATACAGTATCAAAAATCACCTCTTGTAACAGTAGCAATTTCCAGCATTATGTCGATGAAATCAGAACAACGAAAACAGAAGATTGGCAACCATGAGCAAGTCATACGTCATACATTTTCTCTGTACCATTGTAAAGAATTCTCTTAGCTGCAGTAGCTTGCGAATTTGGAATCCCGCATTAGGGTTGTATTTACAATGTATAATCGTAATGAAAGTCCTCGACAACAGCCGATTCCCTTGTCAACAAGCCGAACAACTGCCGTCTTACGGCCTAGACAAAGATGTTGACCTTTCTACAAAAATTGCGCTTGAGATTGAACTGCCACCGTTCCGCTCACTTGCAGTAACGATCCGCTTTCTTCTTCACGCGTTCGTTAAGAGCGGCCTCTCTGGATTCTTCAGTGGGAACAACATATCCAAATCTTCTCGTCTCCACCGGAAAGAGCTCCTCGTATTTCTTGCTCTTCTTCCCATCCGGAGCGTGGCCTGTCCCCGTGTCTATTTCGGCAATTGGTTGCTGCTTTCCATCGGATTCCTGCTCGACTTTGGGCTCCGCTCCGTCGTTCTCGATCGCGTCGCCCGCAGCAACGAGAGCATTCTCCTCATCCCCTTCGGCCTTTGCTGGCTGCTTGATCTTCTTCTTCTTCGAAATTTTCTTCTCCGGCCCTAAACCTAGACCCCCTTTGAATGTGAGCTTCCCGCCTCTGACTTTCTCGTACGACGAGGACATGGATTCCAATGTCGGCTGCAATTCCAGGAAACCTTCTCCGGCAAGCGCGAGAGCGACCTAACGGTTAAACCTTCGAAAACTCGATCAACCGCTTGAATTCTAAATCCTGAACCAGATTTCGACGGCAGCGTCGACGCTCCGATTCGCTCCGTTTGAAAATGGGAAGCGCGAAACTGATCGCTAAGAGAGTGCATCGACTGACAGTGACCGATTTTGTTGCGGGAATCTTCTTCTATGTAGTAATTTCATTTGCTGTTGAGTTTCAAGTCCATGCCTCTCAGTTTTCCAAAATATTGGAAGTTGCTTACAGAATAAGTTAACAATGTTCACGCAGAATTCGACCTGCTACTAATAGCACCAATCATTTGGTCGTTTGATTAAGTTGACGTTGTTTTTTCCTTAATTCAACATACTTTGAATTATTTGAATTAAGGTAAAGAGAATTACTGCCATGAAATACATAAATTATTGAAAATATTTCTAAAAATAGGAGTAAGCTAACCTATGGGAAACTCATTTGACAAGAAAAATATAAAATAAACAATACTAGTTATTATAAAACTTTGTAATTTGATTGGAGTTTCACTGATATATTGAATATTATGTAAAATTTAAAGAGTAATAATGTGCATTGATTCTTCAAGCAATTATTGTATCAAATGTTGTACGTATGTATTATTGTATCATACGTATTTGGTCAAGATATTAGACTGCAATTGAAATGCTCAATAATATATACTGGATTGTTATTGGAAAAAACATTGGAATTGGAATTGGAATAAATTACACTATGTTTCAAATTGAACATGCAAAATTAATAATTACTTACCAGATAAAATATTCTAAGCATTCTACATATATTTAGCAAAAATTAAGATTTTGCAATCTTAAAATTTGATCATTACTTTATTTTGAAAAGAAATAGTCTAAAAACAGAAGAAAAAATGCTAAGATAACTTTTTGAAAATAAAATATTGAATTTAGATATTAAAATTTTAAATAAATAATTTTAAATAATAATATTTTTAAAAAATAAAAATTATTAAAAAAATTCTAAAATTTTTGAAATGTTTAAAATCGATTCATTGCCTCTCCTCAAAGTAGTGGATCAGATTCGAAATGGGATTTGAATAGCATCCTACTATGAGATCGTCAAGTTGGAGTCAAAAGCTCCAACTTCAACAGTAGATTAGAAGCAACGCTACAAACAAGATGGGAGAAATTTGAGAGAAGTGAGAGCGGGAGAGGAAGAGATTAGACGGAAGAAAAAGACGAAGGAGACGCTCGGGATAATGGACGGGGTATTTATAGAAGTTTGTAGTTTTTGGGATGAATGAAGCAGGAGAGCAGGACGCAATAAAGAGATTGCCCAATTGCATTCATACTTCAATGTGAACAGAGTGGAAACCTCAGGACTCACTTATATGACACATCAAAGTTATCTAAAATATTGTTTATTCCTTCGATATATGCTCTTAGATGGTATTTTCAGTAAAACATTTGTATTTATTTTATAAATTTTTTCCTACCAATATCCCTAGTTAAATACCGTATCTCTCACTTTATCATCACTGTGTCTGATTTATCATATTACATCATTATTAATCTCCACGATTATCGATTCCAGACTTCTTTCCAGCCATCCACTATCTGCATTCATAGTCCCATTGCTACCAAAATTATCAAGTCTCAGGTCCTAGACACTTCTCCATGCAAGAATAGGTGACTGTGCACTTGTAAATATTATTAAATGTCCGTGACCACGTGAGCAATGTAAGTGAGAGCTGGTTCTAGAGTCTTATAAAAGCACTAATTCTGGTGGGAAAAAATAACCTCAACCAAATGCTCCATCTGCAAACCTAGGCACAATGAGATAACAGGAAGGCGCGTCGTCTCAAATTATTTGAACACAAACCAACTCATTGACATGCCATAACCATGAGGTTGAGATCATTCAGAATATATATCCAATCAAGGTACAAGCGCATATGATACCATTTACATACATAATTTGAGAGAATATCTCTTCAGTTATTGACATCATGCTTTCCTAGCCTGCTTCAGATTTGAATCTATCTAAGTTATAAGATTTTCCTGGGTCCTCAAATATCCTGATATATTCATTAACCGTCATAAATTCCAAATGTAAATATGTATTGACAACATCCAGCAACCGTAAATTTATATAATACCAGTGAAAATTCTTCCTCAAAATCTAAATATGAACTATATATCTTAATTTTGATAATTTTTTTAACAGAAATTAGAAAAATGTACATCTCTTTTTATCCGTTTGTTTCTGCCAATGACAAGGGAATATGAGTTCGCGAGGGAAAAAATCCAAATAGACAAAAATATGTGGCGCATGCGCATGCATTTGCACGCATGGACGAATTTGAAGTTGTTCCTTCCTAAACCCTGTGTTTTGTGGCTTCTTTGGCAACCCTTTGCATCTGGAGCCCTCGAGAAATTTGTTTGATGGGACCCCATCAGAACGCTGACTGGTTGATGGGACCCAATAAGTTCCATTTTACCTGATGGGACCCCTACTCCGGATCACCATCAGTTATGTTCTTGTAACTGATTTGTTTCCAATTCACTGAAAAAAATTTATTTCTTCCCGAATTTAAGTTAATCAGATATTACATGGCTCCCAATTTACATCGTGGAAGAGCCCAATTTCTTGAGTCCCATAATGATTTTACAGTTATAATGTTTAGGCATAATCTACTTACTCCTTACTTTTTTTTCTAAATCTCTTGGTCGAAATCATGTCAGTTGGGTATTTTGATCCGTGAAGAGCATTTCACTTTTCAACAAAGAGCCGGTTTGAAAGTAATTACAAGAACTCGCAGTAGAACGTCGGTGACGGTGGACTGAATTGCCGGAATGGTACCATCGGGTAAAATGGAACTTATTCGGTCCCATCAAGCAATCAACGTTCTGGTGGGGTCTATCAATCAAATTTTCTAGGAGCCCTCTGGCAACCCTCTGCATCTAGAGTACCCTCTGAAGAAAGAAACCTTCGCCGAAGCCTACACGGGAGGAAAATCCTGGAAGGTGGGACTCAAGACTGGCGCCGAAACACACACGGACAAGACTTTGGCCACAGCAATGCCGAAGTCTTCGAGCCACAAGTGGAGTACGGCATCACAAACTTTGCAAATCTTTTGTTGATTTTGTTTCTTATGGGCTGAGCCAAAATCAAAGAACTGGATCTAGCTTTATCCTTCTTAGATCTCAATAAGAACATGTGGAAGATTATATTCCGTGACTTTATTGCTGGATGTGATGAAACTCAACCAGTATTCTATCTCACTTCTCAAAGAATAATTTTCTTTGCAGAAGTGCTAAAAATACAAAACTTGTTATTTTAAAAGATTAGCACATTTCAAAAAGTATCAGAAATACATTACTCTCCAAGTTCTCAAATTGAGATTTGACTTTTGGTATATATTGCAAGAATTCCACTTCAAAACTCTTAGTTCTCAACAAAGCATCTCATTTGTTCCCTAGCCAACTTTTGCCTTGGATTATCCTCATCAGGGTTTGACTTAATTGAGTCTTGCCTATAGATTGAGAATAACCAATGTGTAGAAGTTTCTTCAATGGATTTTATCAGACTTAAAACGAAAAATGTAACCCTTATTTGACAACAAAAATTTGCTGCACTGCAGCTGTTCATTTGACAAATCTCATTCCTGAGATTTACATCAGGTCTTTGACAAGTTAGATTTAATAACAGGTTACTGAGCGGTGTTTGTAAATGCATCGCAGCTTCCAACCTTTTTCAGATAGTTCTGGAATAGTTGTAATTCGTCATGAATTTGTATATGATTTAAGAATAAAATATTTTTTTGAAGAACTGCCCCCGTGCTCTCTACAAAGCGTAGTTAGTGTATAGGTTAGTTAGTTAACATTATCATCCTTGTAAGCCTCAACCTTTAGTTCATCTCCACCAAAGCAATGCAGATTAAGGATTTCTGAGGGCCAGTATGGTCTCTGAGTTTGCAAGCCAAGATCTCGTAGCTCTTCCTGAACATATATTGTGCAGTTGTTAGGCAGCCCGTCTAAAAACCAGCGAATAACAGTGTTCTGCATTCGTCTTTGCGTAAAACGACCCTTTGTTCCCTCAAGCATGCGTTTTCGTTCGCAAATTACATCGATCACCACACCCCGAAACGTAGGTATTAACTGCATCATCACTTGGACACAGCACCTTAGCATTTGGAGAAGAACTTCACGGTTCACCCTTTCTTTGTAAAGTCTTTCTAGACACACATGGAAGATTTTTGAACGGTGAACCCATTTTATTACCCCATGCCCTTCACAATCTAGCCTCCACATCATGTTGCACAATGATATCATATTATCTCGTTCTACAAGAGCTTTCTCTTTCTCCTCCCTGTCTAACCATTCCTTCAACGTTTCGCCTTCCATTATAGAATCCAACACGTAATCTCATAAAATAAAACAAACTTTTTTACACTCACAACACAAACAATCCACAATCGATGGGTTTGAACTTCTAGAAAACAGAAAAATGAATCGTCAGGCATAAATTCAAACGCAATCTATCAACCAAAAGACACGACCCTTCAAATTAGGGATTTAGATTGTTGAAATGCTCGATAAGGATTGAGGGTGAAGGATTTAGGGGTTTGAGGTTTAATAGGTTAGGGTTAAGGGGTAAGGGTTTCGGGTTAATGGTTAGGGTTTTTTTAGGGTTTAGGGTTTAGAATTACCACAACAAATACAATTTGTTACCAGTGATATCATTCCAGATTACTTGATACGATTTTCTTTCAACATATTGTGCAGATAAACCGGATAGTAAAATAATCCAAATTTCGCATCAAAATTTGAAATAATGATACAAATTTTACTTTTCATTCGATATCATTTGTATTCGGATTTCTTTTTCTTCTATTCCTATTAATTTTTTCACGCAACTGCAGATACATGTAGAAATGTAAACCTCAGATTGCTAATTTGCATACATTGTGAAAAAAAATTTGATTACTTACAGAGCATAAGAAGAGTCGACCTGGTTTTCCTTCTCCAAATGCTAATTTGACTTCTTTGAACACCTACATGGAGGCGCCCGTTGCTTGTTCTGCTTTAGAGACTCTTCCTTCCCTTTCCCATGAAACATCTATCCCGGAGAGTCAAGTTCACTTGCAGAGCCCCGTCAGGTCCATGAACGCCTCTTCGTCGACTTCGTTGTGACACAAATCCAAGTGAGTGGGACTTGTGTTACCGCACAACCACCGAAACAGTTGCTTCCATATTCCCTCGAAACATTTTCTGCTGATCTCTTGGTTAAGTACGCACCCGTTTAAATACGCAATTTTTTCTTACAAAATTAGGGTTCAAGTTTAGGGTTTAATCCTAAACAGGACATGTCGTTTCATTTGGTTCATGGTCATTGTTTCTCCCCCTAGGGGTTGAAATTGTCTCATATGGCATTAGAAACCTGGAACTTTAGTGGTTGATATATCTTCATTAAACATTTGAAGCCTAAATCTCTTTAGTAGGGAGAAAACAAGCCAGTCTCATAAAATATGGAAGAGACTATATCATTTTTTTGATGTTTTAGATTACATTGGGTTATACCAGCGTGGAGATTTTTTGATGGTTCTAGAGTCCATGATAAGATTTCTATTTAGTCTCTTCGAAGCAGCATCTTCCACAACTCACTACGCAATTGGATACTACTTAGCCATTGCAAATATACTCAAATATAGACTTGAAGTCCATATCTGAAATCGACAATCTCAATAAAATACGACTTAGCCAGCTTTTCTTTAGATTGAGAACATCATTTTCCATCAGAATTGGGCCTCTGCCGAAGTTACAGCTGACAGAAAAATCTGCCTTTTCAGTCAGAGCTATCTGAACCCATGGCGATCAGGAGTATTTCTACTGTAATCAGGATTCCAGATTGCCTCACTAGCTGTATCAAGAGATGTTTTGAGCTGTTCTGATCACGTCTTAAGTTATGTAGACCCTACAGTAAACTTGAAAGTTCCAAAGATGTACAAAACATGCAATGATCACAATCCTCTTCGAGCAGCAGTATTTTCATCCGCTCGCTGGCTAGAATTTTTGCGTAGACGATAATCGATCTGAAAGTAATTGCGACACAAATCATAGCATGCCTATTTTTTTGTTCATTATTTGAAACCCAGTTACTGCTTCTTATGATTGCAAAATTCGAGGATCCTTATGATCATTTCTTTCTAGCAGGGAAACTACTCCAGCTTGTTATAGTGAATATCGCATAAAGTCAGATGGAGATCATATCAGATTTGGAGAATGAAATGTTTATTCCAGGAAACAATTCATTGAATTCAATTGTCCAGCACGGTTAGAACTTTGTTTTTGGTTAGCATAAGATGTTCAATCGTTTCTTCGGATGGACGATTTTTCTTCAAATATTCACAGTTGATTCTGCAACTACTACTTGCCTCAAGTTAGGCTCTTTGACGCGACGACGTTAAGGATAAATAGTTGCAGGTATAATATCAAAATCTCCTCTCCACCAATCCTGCACGTTACTGACTGACTGGATAAGATTCATTATCTACATTGCCTGACGTGACGAAAGTTCTTCATATAATACATTTAAAGAATTCTCTTTGCTTCCGACAGACCTGCTGAGACATCATGTTTTGATCCAAGCTATGAATCCTACCTCCCTTTCAACTACACGTCTTCATCTAGACTTGCTAAAATCCAGATTCGTGCGGTCTTGAAGGAACCAAGGTCTGTAACTTTGAGACTTGTTGAGCTACAAAGACTCGAGAGCATTTATATTTATCCAAGGAAAGGAAGGAGATAAAACTTACGAGCTGATTTGAGGTCGAAGATCTGGATCTGTCCAACTTGTGATAAGTCATTCATTTGGGTAGTCTTTTATGCCTCAGTTTCTGCATTCTAAGTGGTCGGAGGAATATTCTCCGCAATATGATTGTCACTCCTGAGAATTCGTACTACAATACCGCAAGCTGCCCATGATCCTGTAGCACGAGCCTTTCCATATCCTATTGGAATTGATAGTTGAATCATGGAAGCTAGGAGTCCTCTTTGGAATTGCATGTTATAAGAATGCAAAAAGTTTGTGTCTATTAGATCCATGGAAAGGCCAAAGATCTTACAACTTTATGCTCTCCTTTTTATACGTTACTACGCATGATCAATCAGGGAATGTGATACTCAGAATCGAATGATTTCAATAGCTGGGAATGTGCCGTTGGTGGCGTCCAGAGTCATGAATCCGAAGGGCTTGGTCGGAGGGCACTGGACCTTGAGCATAGCAGCGAACTCAGGGTCCACGGATGGGTTATGTTCAGTCCGTGCAAATTGTAGAGGCGCTCGAAAAATGAGCCACAGTGAAAGTGTCCGATCGCGTGTCTTCCTGCATCAGTTCCAATGTGGTCAGGACAACAAAATGATAATTAAGGTGTTGTGTCCTGGTCTGACTATAATTCCACCTCGACTAACATTCTGTGTCTCACAGTCGATTTTGGTAGCTTCTGAGAATTGGGAACATGTGAGAAGAACGGGAAATGATCCCATATGATTGCTACTTATTAAACCCCAAGTCTTGTCGTTGCTGTGTTGTAGTTCAAATCTTTTCGTGCAATGAACAATAAAAGAAGAAAATCATAAGAAGCCCCATCTATGTTTCATACTAATACTTATTTGCTTACGTACCTGGTAGTATGATCATGTCTCTGGCATCTAGTACGACTCTAGCGAACCTGGCGACGAGTTGCGTGAAGTTGTCTGTACGTTCAGGTAAAATTCTGTTGACCCCATCGGTGAATGAAGCTCCTCCGAAAAACACGGGCACCTAGTGCCATCAACCTCGAAGGTAAAATATGCTCCATCAATACTTCACTCTACTCATTTTTCTTCTGTAGTGAATAGTATTTACATGGATTGTGACGAGTGAATCAAGGCGGGTAGATTCCTAGCAATATTTTCATCCCCATAAGTCGTACCTTAGCTCTAGCGTCTCGGGCAACCAGTGCTAAAATATCAGAACAAGATACCACACCTGGGCATGCAAACTCCAGCTCCATCTTGATTTCATCAGTCTGCTCAAATCCACTCAGAGAGCCTTTGTTGAGCAATGCTTCTCTCTCGGTCAGCATTGACTCGGTAGACATTGAGAAGACAGATCCATCGCAACCGTGTACATTTCGATAAGAAATGCGCACGTTACTGGTCGGTATCAGAGGTGTCTTTCAGTCTTGTACTCAAACTTGTATACGCGTGAATGCATTTCTTTCAGAGTAAATTGTGATTCGACTTACCGGGACGAAACAATCATGAAAATGTAGTCGCAGGAATGGCGCCCATCTTGATCATGGCCCATCCGAACTCGTTCAGGAAGGCCATGTGATCTTGCACCGCTCTGATGACCTATTCCAGGCCCAGAGGGTCACTCAAGAGCGCCACATCCGACTCCAGCAGGCCCTTGTTCGTCAGTATATTCTTATACTGTCGATACAATGTAATTAAGATGAAGATACTTATCAGACCAGCACCCGTGTGTACGTCACCATACCTTTTCTTGTTTGATCTGCCAATCAAAACATCCTCGAATAACTTCAAACGAACCCAATTTTTGGGTTGTGAATCTACTCATTTTACTAACCCCTAAATTTGTGTCATGATCAGGGGTTAGTAACGGATGAATAACATGAGTATTAAGATGAATCTCCGTGCATCAACATTTGTCACTTTATACTGAAAACAACAATTTTACAGCAGTAACAGGAGGCCTTTTTTACATGTACTGCGTAATCATCATCTAAAAATCAATTGTTACTGGATTTCTTAAATATTGAAGAGTAAGTTACAAGTTTGGTCTCGGATCATACCAAGAATGAGATTCATCTATTTCAATTGTATCTACATCCAACACTAGTGTTTTCTGACTCTATAGCTACATATGTGATATAGGGACATGATCCAAGGTTCACCACAAATTTACAGCTTTCTTGACGAAAGTCCTAGTTTTGAAAGCAATAACCGTATTATTGAAGGCGGCCGGGAGTGATATCCAGAAGCCAATATTATTTACAGCAAATGTAAAATAGCAAAAGAATGCATTGGACTAGAATTTCTCACTTGTTTTCTTTTTGTAATCTACAAATCTATATGACTTTCTATACTACTTATCGCCGACAAAAAATGTTGCAGGCAAGCCCATTGGACGTAAGCAGACGTAAGCGTTGCTTGATCGTTAATGAGGTCAACTCCATGTACTGAAATATGACAAAAATTCCAACGACAGGATATCAGAGAACTTGGCTAAGGTAAAGTAGATTCGGATGATCTGTATTGCCTATGCAACTGCGTGAATTTCTGCTTTCCAGTATTCAGAATTTGGAGATCAATCATTCTTAGCTGAATAGCTTGAACATCGAGACCTACAACCTGAATTACGAAATCCTAGATAATGATCTATGCTGCAAGTTAGTGCTTTATTACCCTTGCCGAGAGATATTGACTTTGTAACGTGTTTCTGATGTTTTGCCTCTACGGGAAAGTAGTGCATGCGTCCTTACTTTAAAAATTGAGCCCGAGTAGATTCTTCTTAACCCACCCTGTGTAAGACCAGTCCCTTGACTGAAGAATCATATGCTATTCACATACGTGTGGTCGAATCCTGTACCAACATATACTTTTGCTGTAGTTCATTTGTGGTCTATGAAAGCATCAAATGTAGCTGAGATTCGAAGTCCGTTCTATCTGAGAAATCTTCCTTAATGGGACGTGCTAGATAATTGCGATGATCTCTCTGGACTCAGAAGACAAGAATGACAATCTTATAACCGCGTTCACTTTGCTGAAGAGTATTCGGCAGCTGCCATGAGGCTTCCGTGAAACCGTGTGCGTGTTGATCTCTCTTTGTGGATTCACATGGATGTCACGACTAACCTGATTACGGCCACCATTTTCATGGTTCAATTCATGCGGATGGCTTTTCCCAAGGACAGTCTTATTCTTGTGATCTGAAGTTCAACTGATTCTCTTCAGTTTTGAAAGTTACTTGTGGATTCTGTGATCGCCTGCTGTCGTCTCTGATAGTTTGATTTTTGGTCTTGTTTTCCTGTATCTTGAATACTAGCTAAAATTGCAATCCAACTCGTATGTGGTGGATATGATTTATAGAAATATCAGTCTTACATTATACACGCTGAAATGACGAACATTTTCATAGCTAAAATTACACGTCCATACCGAAGGCAATCACCCTCAGTATATTGAACTTTATGGTGACATTACTTTATGGTGATACATGGAAAAGGATTTCAGAAGCATAAAAATACAGTAAAGTATCGGATCAGCCGCGCCAGAGAGTCAACCGTGTGTTCGGGTACCGTACACATAATCACGCGAGTGTGTGCTGTACTCACACATATGACTCATATGTGTGAATACACGTCATCACTCATATGAAAATGAGTGATGACGTGTACGGTTATTATTCGATTCGAGATTACTCACCAATGCATATTTGAAGCATTAATTCGGTGTTAGTGAAACTTGCGATGATAATAGCTTTAACATCATTTTCCGAAGTGTTGTTTTCATGCGTTACATTGACCATATTACATCCATTTTCAAGCTTATCTATCTAATTCATATATATGTCGTATATTATCTAGGAATTAAGCAACCCCCTTTGTTTTCATCGTTGATGTTGAAGATTTCCATTTCAATCCATGTATGTTTGTAGTCTTCAAGCAGTATTAACAACAATAATAAAGAAATTATATGCGCCCTCGAGTGTGGAAGGCTTGAAATATATCTATGCCCGAGTATTATGAAAATAATCGTTGATGTTCACTCAAAAATCTTGATTCAACTCCACCAATATAAACGCTGTGAATTTCACGATTCTTTCTCATTTTTAATACAGATTTAACTCAGTATGATTCGTCTTTTCAAGTGCAGTATGAAATTAGAACTGATCAGTAAAGAATTTCACCAGAAACCTTTAATTCAATCTTCTAGTAATTTTTTTTTTCATATAACTTATATTTCTAAACAACATGAAGAGATTTCACAAGTTCTTTACAAGTAGAAAGCCAATATATGGTTGTTTCAGATCGGAAATTTAAATTATTCATAAGATTTTCATATCTATCAAATCATTCATTAGGTTTGAAGATAACATTTTTTATTTTCATCATTGAGAGTTACATTGTACAAAGTGATCATAATGTGTGCAAGTTGTCTTAACAATGGAAGATCTCAGGCAACATTCATTCTTGTATATGAATCTTATCTTTATGATCAAATTTTTCATGTGTATAAATTCATGTCCAATGTTATGAGAAAGGAAAAATTGAGATAATGTATTCTAGAGTTTCCTATTCAATCAGGTTATAACCACATGTATGAGGAAAGGAGTGTGTAGATAAACTAAGCTTTTGGCAATAAGTGTGCGAAGGTGGATTCCCAATCTAAGAAGCTTTTTTTTACATATGTACTGTAGGACTTTCTGTTGGTATTGGTAGAAAGATTCTTTTCATGATCTTATGAAATTTACGGGCAGAATACCAGTCTAGGTACAATTTTCGTGTAGAATTTGATCCTCATGAGAAAGACAATTTACAGTCTTAAAGCTTTGTACAATGATGAGGAAAAGTTCTGTTCCTCACTCTTGAAGCTTTGTATGTTCGTGCTCAGATTAACGTAGGTTGTTTTCTTACTCATAATTGGATTCGAGGTTATAGAGAAGATACTCTAGGCGCGGAGAACACGTAAGGGCTAGGAAAACGCTTTCCCGGCAACTCCCGAGGCCAAATACTTGTGGGACCCAATTTTACTTTTAGTCGTCAATCTATTGTCATCCTTGAAACAGTGAACGAACATCGATTCCAGCTCATACGATGCTCCATAAGAAGATTCAATCTCAGAATGTCATTTGGAGCGTGTAAATCTAGAAGGGCCTGTAGTGAAAATTGCTGGTTGACGTTTCCTAGATTTGAATTATCAATAAACTACTGGCATCTAAATAATTAGTGAGCGTAAACTAAAGTTTGCGTGCTCAGAAGGTCCTGGTAGCCACCAGGTCCTACCACTGGTAGGACCTGGTGGCTACCAGTTCGATCTCTTGGAGTTAAATACTGGGAGGCCTTGATGACCTGAACACGTCTCCAGCAACGTAACTTATAAGAAAAGTGAGTTAATGTTCAAGTTGAGTTCAAGTTTACGAATGTTCGAACAAATATCAAAACCGAACAAAATTCAAGGCAATAGTTTGTACACGATAAAATCTTACATGAGATTCAATTTGGACTTGCAATTTCGTGACTCCTGACTTACTTACTTTTATAACAAATCAAACATAGCGATATATGGTTATATGGTTATTTTTGCTACTCTTTCATGAAAAACACAAAATTCTATCGTTAAACCCAAAATTAGATAATCCCCAAGGTTGATATCGATCTGATCGATAACGTGGCACATGTAAAACATTTTTCTTGTTATATAATATATCGATGTTTTGAATTTAAAAAGAAATTCAGTCTTCATATCAGTATACTTTTCCTTACAATTCATGAAATAAAAACTTCAAATAACAATATAACTTTTGAGTGACATAATTTCTCTGAGAGACACAAATTTGGTTGAAAGGTGATCGTCTAGTATGTAATGTAAGACTTCTTTGATCTTGCTGTTGCCAGTTTTCTAACCAGTGTGATAGATTTCGGGACACAAGTTGCACATATGTTGAACAAGAACACTGTACAATTCAATCTCTAGCAGAAATGAGGGCTACTTACAATGTACACGGAATTATTGCAGCTAACAGGAGTTACAAGTTCAGACATCTGAGTCCCGACTTACTCACGAAAAGTTTTTGAGGGACTCCACTGACACCAAGACGAGAAAGTGAAGCTCCGTGGAGCCATGGATCGACTGAATCATCACTCTTGACTCGGGCTCCGACTTTTGAGGCACTCGTGGTCAATTTGTGGGGCCAGATTTGCACTACCGAGCGAAACACAGTCGCTCAGAACACGTCATTACAAGACGACGGTCAGGCCTTCTCTGACGTGATTCTCGTTTCGTACTTTACGCATGTTCAAGAGGACAATGTCGAGCTCTACATGCCTTTACGTAAAACAACGACGACAATGTCAGCCCCAAGCTCACAAGGGACTATGTACTGTCCATGAGAAGAGCGACCACTATAAAGTCTGGAAGATCATACCAGAAGCAGTGCTGATGAGAGCAGTGGGATTGCAGTATCCTCAGAGTCGTTCTCAGCGGAATCTGGATGGAATCGAAGAGCTGGTTCGTCGGGCCATCAGGCTTCCGGAGTCGAGATGAGAGGTTGAAGATCGATGCTTCAAATAAGGTAATTTCTTCATCCTTCTCCACGCATCTGTCATATGAACTGTAATCAAATTTCGACGAGTATTTACATCTGAAGACAAATTTCCTGCTTAGGCCGTGTTCACTTGCTGCCCCACGAGCGGCGTAGTAGAACGAGGCTCTACATGCTCCGTCAATTGTAGACCACAATGAAAAATTTACCTTGTTCGTAATGTTGTTTCCTTTCATTGTGAATGATCTTGATTTAATTTTCGAGTTTGTCAAGGCGCAGGTTTCAGAAGAAGATGGTTCCGACGTGAGTGCAACTGAGACAGCAACTGGCGAGACTAGCTTCGCCGAGCCAATAAATGACCAACTGTATGTGCTGTATGAACCGTCGGATGGAAATTATGACATGGAGATAATATTTGTGCACGGCTTTTATACTGAAGGCTCTAGTGATCCCTGGAGGACGACATGGACCAACAAGGATGGCACATGCTGGCCAAGAGAATTCTTGGGAACAAGGTTCCCAAGAATTCGTATATTATCGGTGTCTTATGATGCTTGTGTGATTACGAATAGTACCCAGGGCCGAATGAGATTGTCCACCGTTGCAGAAAGTCTATTGGTCAACTTTTTCCTTTCAAGCAGCAATGTTGGGCAGACAAACAACTGCCCAGTTTTTTTCGTCGGCCATGGTATGGGATGCTTTGTGATTAAGAATCTGATCATCAAAGTATCTCAACGATATCGTCAGTTCGAAAAGGAAAGGGCGAAGCTGTTGGAGAACGTAGGTGGCTTTGTGTTCTACTCTCCTTTCAACTCCGGAGCCGAAACGAGTTTGTATGAAAATGAGCCTGGTAAAAGTAATTCACTGACGGACGTCATGAAAGTACACAATCCAGATCTTAGTGAACTCAATGCAGATTTCGCAAACCTTCGAAGCCAAATGAAGGAGGAGCGAAAGTCGAGGAATTTGTGGAAGGTTTTGACTATCTGCGAGTCACATGAAACAGAGTCAAGAACGGTGAATTTTTCTTGCGATCACAGTTGAAGTAGTAGTTGAAATTTTGATCCGCATGAGATGTATGGCGTTGGAGAAGTTTGCAGTTTCTTTTCAACTCTTTTCAGTTTATGGTGATCCTCTAAGAAGAACTGAACTTTCAGCTTATCACTCCTTTATTATTAGTGAAAGCGTGAACTGCAGATTGGCATATGGACACGATGGAGAGACTATAAAGCTGGGGATGATTGCAATGTGCTTCATTCGAAAATTATAACCCCTTATTCTGTTATGTTGCTGATGTCACTGCGTACTGTATTATGATTCAAGAGTATGCTAAAGCCGTCTCCTCGTATGTAGTGACTGAATGTACATACTCTCTCTATTGCGATGCAGCGCAGCGGTTTGCAAAGATCAGAGACCTTTGTTAAAGAGGGAACGGCCAGACAGGACTGCGAAGTGTTCATGTTTGGAGTTGGTGACCATTTTAATGTCTGCAGACACCAGTCAACAAAAGACGTTGCATATCAGTGCTTCGAAAGTCAGCTGAATTCTACCCTGGAGAGTATTAGAAACTCTTTGAAGGAAATTCTTCCCCGGGAGAGTATTCGAAACCCTTCGGAGGAAATTCTTCCCCCGGAGATTATTAGAAACCCTTTGGAGGAAATTCTTCCCCGGAAGCGGTTCAGTATCCTATTTCCTTACAAACTCCCTTTCTACAGTTACGAAGCATTCGTGGAGGCTGCCAAGACATTTGTCCCACAAGGCTTTGGTGTCGATGGATCCGAGGATGAAAAGAGAAGGGAGATCGCAGCTCTTCTTGCCCATTTTGACCATGGAACCTCTGGTAAGTGATTGAAGTGATGCATTTGATTGCGCTGGTTTTGAGTTTCCTTTGTAACTCTTTGCAGTTTCCTTATCTGAAAATCTGTTATCCATGCTTGGAAGTTTTTGCAACTGAAGAGATATTGAAATCAGTCACAAGTCCGATTGATGAACAGACATATGAAAATAACAGAAATGTTCTGAACTTCTGCTGACCAGTTTCAACGTGGACACACCTTGATTTGGTTGACACAGGACTCACATACAAGGAGTACCTCCCACCGGCAGAAGCATATTGTCGACCCAGTAACGAGTTTCCTTGTCATCCAGGAAAAAGCTATCATGGTCGAGGGCCATTGCAGCTATGCATGTAAAGTTGTACCGAATCGCGTTGATCAAGATTTCTGGGATGAATTCATTTCCGAAGCTTGAATATGTTAATGTCAATGCATTTACTCATTTGTCAGCATCATAACGAGCTTGGGTGTAAATTTTCTACTAATGATCCAAATATTGCCTGCTGTGAAATGCACGTGCGAATTAGAGTGTGATGTTTTGAAGAACTAGGTTGCCGCATGTATTAATGCTGAAATGCAGCTGGCTCTGATCGGGTTGAGACATTTGTGTTGATGTCCAGGAACTACAACTACAAACTCTGCGGCCAAGGTATAGGTGACGACAGCCTATTGTCCTGTCCCGAAAAGCTATCAGAAGATCCCGTCATTGCATTCAAAGCAGCACTCTGGTTCTGGTGTACGCCCCAGTGCCCCAAGCCATCGTGCCATTCTGTCATGACTGGAATGTGGACTCCAACAAAGAAGGACATCAAAGATAAAAGGTTGCCGGGCTTTGGATTGACTATCAATATAATAAATGGATATCAACCTGATAAGCGTGTCAAGAAGTATATACACTTTTGTAAGCAATTGAAAGTCGACCCAGGAAAAAATATTGATTGCAGTGGTCAGAAGATGTATGGATAACTCGGAGCACGTACAAGGACTGAGGAAACCGTCTCTGACTAGATGAATCCGAAATATATAAGATTGAAAATCTCTCTGTAGATGGCGCTTTTCCGGAATGATTGGAGGCGAAGAATGTAAAACAGTGTTCTATTGCCAAAATAAAGCTCTGTTGTCTTCCGTAATCCATGTAAAATCTATCCGTGTACGTGTATTCGGCAAATGTATCTTTGTAGTTCAACCCGCCGTTGCATTTGGAAGCTGTCGGAGAAATGTGTCCAAAATGTCAGAATAATGCCAGTGTAGTTTTTGGCCTGTATTCTGCAGACGAATTCTATGTCTTCAGAGATCATGTAGAGCTATCAAAACAACCGAAATTTGATAGAACCGTTGTTTCGATAGCTCTACATTATAATGTATATCAGTACTGGCAAAGAAAGAAAAGAACTTGTGAAAGGTAAATTAAGAGACAAACATCTTTGTGCCAGTTTGATTTGTTTGGGTTCTTAGGTACGTTCTTATGTCCAACTTAGGATGAGTGAATACATACTGTAGGGATTTCAATCCCCATAGTCTACAGAAAATCACAGTCCACACACCATAGATACACGTGTAGCCGAATAAAAAATAAAACTAAAAACTTCTCCGAATTTTCTTTATTTCCGATAAGGTTTCACATTATCCCTCCGCAAGAATCCTTCCCGAATAGATATTAAGTCAAAATACCACTTCTTTTTTCTTTTTTTTTTTGTTTCCTCTATTCAAAGCATAATTACACGATCATTTCACAACTTTTTTTATTTGTATTTTTTTTCCTTACTTTTTTATTTCAAAATCAATCATCGTTACAATTTCAAAATCTAAGTTTCAAATCTTCCCAATTGTGGATAATTAGATCCACACACCATAGATACACAAGCATTTGTTGACGAAGTTCAGCTTGAAAGCCTACTCCCTGCGAACTCCTCAATGAAAGCAGTTCGAGTATATATATCCAAGATCAGTTTCTTCAGACTTGACCTTCCTATCTGCCATTACAAGGTTTCAGTCTACTGAGAACTACACACGAGAAATCACTACTGTGTCCCGAGCAAGACTAACACTTCCTCAAAGGTGATTCCCTCCCGTAGGTGTCTCCCCGTTCTCACTCTCGACTATTCTTGAAAACCTTATCTCTGTAATGCACACTGCCCTAGTTCGCTGACTGGCCTTATATCATCCCGACTTCTACCGGTACCTTAAACGGTAAAGATCAGAATGAATCAAAACCGTAAACTCCTACACTGCCCATAGGATATAGACCCATCTGCGAGCTAATACTAAACGACAAATAATCTAAAAGGAAAAAGACAAACAACTGAAGCTGATATCTCACACATACCTGCTAACAGGAAAGCTCTTTTGTGATCCTCATTTGTTCAGAGATGCAGACATCATTGTTTTATAGGCATCAGCCACCGCACTTGTACTTGCAATGTAAAAGGTCTCGCAATTTGCACATTGATCAGAATGCCATAAATGTCGTTTTCTTCTTATGTCAAGTTGCGACGGACTTGAAAATCTTGGATAAAGTTTTTGAGTTTACTTTGAGAGTAGACTCACATACCATGATTTGAGTGTACTCGAGTTGATAATTTTTTTCATTTTTTTCCTAGAGAGATATGTTTTGAAGGAATAATGCCCTGAAGAATGAGATGTTCTTGCTCGTAGATATTTGTGGCTCCAGACTCCAGACAGATGTTAACTCCGGTTAAAGAATAACCTTATGTTTAGCTATTTATAATTGAGATTGATCGCTCCTTGTTGGATATATATACCTAGGGTCTGTGTATTATCAAAGAGAACGCACTGTATACTATCATGAGCTATTCCCTTGTGAACTTAGCCTTTGGGGTGAACCACGTTATTTTCTGTCTCTCGTGTTGATGGCTTTGTTTGAGTTTCAATTTTACGTTCGCAATTGGTTTTAGAGCCGGTTTCAATTTGGTTTTTGAGAGTGTTTCGATTTAGAGCTTATGACGATGGTGCTTTGTGTTATGGAGATAGTTTAATTTGATTTGGTTGTGGATTTTGACAGTGATATTCTATGTTCGGGAAATGACTAACCTAATGGGGTTGTGACAAATTTATCACCTATCAATATCACCTAACAGGTGATAGAAATCTGTTAATGATGGGTTTTTGACGGATTTCTATTACTAACGGTTTTTCCAAGATTGAATACTGATGGTTTTATTGTCCAAGATTGAATTCTTGACAATGATAGAGAAATATCAGAATATGAGTTTAAAAGGTTTTTTCTTTTGAATATGAGTTTAACTTTAGATATTTGTGGCTCCAGACTCACTAATCGACACTTCTATAAGTTTGCTGTAGCTTTCTGAGTTCGCTTTGGTTAAGCTCGTGGGTGCATTTTCGAATGAACGTGATAAATGCAAGCTGAAGTCCATGGATCTATACACAACATTGAGTATGAAAATATTCAATGTTGTATATCTGAAACAAGTGGATAAGTATGATGAATATACTCTATAATTTGAGAATCCTGAGTGATGTTTTATCTCAAAATGTTTTCAAACATGTTATATGTTTCTTTGAAACTCATTATCTTCAAGGAGAAAGATTTTGGTACAAAAATCCAAGATCATATTGATGCATTTGATTATCTTGTCATTGATATTCATAATCTTGGATAGAAGATAATTGATGAGGAAAAGTCTCTTCAGTTTTTGTATTCGTTGTTGCTTGTCTCTTATTAGTAAATGTCGCTTGTCTTGCTTTATTGTGATAGGCAAATAATCGTTAACAAATTTGTTATAGGTTTTCTGTAAGTTGATGAATTACAATTTAAATAGATGTTGTTATCTTCTTCAACCTCTTATTTCAATACGTCATTTAATGTGATTAAAGATTGATCATTTTTACGAAATGACAACGATAGCAAGTATTTTGGATCTAAGGATAGTTCAAGTGTAGGGATAAATCCTTAGAGAGTAAGCCGGTGGTGGTGTGTTAAAAAATGTGACAAAAATGATCACGTCAAGAAGTACTGTAGTGTGAAGACTAGAGGTCCTAATATTTTGTTAGCTAATATGGCTCAAGAAGCATTATTTGCTAGACCTTGACTTAAGATGCCAAAATTATGACCTTTGCAATTCATCAAAGTATATTGATAATGTAAAAATTTTTATTGTGCTAATGTTTATCAAATCTGTTACATCAATTTTATTTTGGCTACTTTTTTGATGTCAAACATATCAATTTTTATAAAAAATGATCAACATGTGATATTAAGTATATTAGATCTGTTAAGAATCAAATGTTTGATGAAGTTCAATGTATATTGACTTAAATCAGATCTATATTCAATATGAGAAAAAATCTGATATCTCTTGAAATGTTACACTCAAAAGGCCCTAAGTGAAGCTCTAAGAAGTTAATGTTTGAGGTGAGAATGCCTCATGATATTATGTTTAGAGCTCATAAACACAACAATCTATATCTGCTAGAGAAAACTTCATATGTGATGAAGTCGATTTTACTAAATCAAATTGAGATGTTTCATGTATGATAGACATTATAGTCTAAGACATATGCATAATAGATGATTCTTACTCCTATGCAATAGTAAATTATTATCTGGCATAGTTAATATTGATTTAGGGTTTTGCAAATATTGTGTTATAGGCAAGCATCATAGTTCAATTTTTGGTGTTGAAATTTGTAGTTTCAAGGAGTTAGTACAATTTATACATAATGCATGTGTGAGTTTACTTACTCACACACAAGTTTAAGGTTTTTAAACCATTGAGGAGTTGGAAGTCCAAGTTGAGTTTCAAACTAAACACAAGATGAGATATTTATGTAATGTATATATTTATGATATTTACTTTTGAGAAGTTTTAGAGTCAATATACTGCAAAGAGGAGTATTACTTGTCATCTTATTATGATGTACATTCCACATTAGAATTTACTTTTGAGAGTCTCAATTGAACAATGTTGAAAAAGATGTTCACTATGGTAAGCCAATATGATTTAGTTATGAAATTTGAGCTGAAACTTTCAATACCACAATGTATTTGGTACATTTTTCCTCTTGATGCAATCATTTTTTGGACACCGTTTAAACTAAGTCACAAATCAATAGCTGATTATGATTGTTTGCAAAACTTTTTGTTCTAATATGTATTCTTTCATACCTCAAAAGAGTAAAATTAAGTTGAATTCTAACTTAAAGAAGATTCAATTTTTTTGGATATGCTAGTGATGTGAAATATTATAAACTATGGGAGGCAAAATTTGTAAAATTATTATCAATAAAGATGTTTCTTTCAATGAGTTCAAATCATTGAAAGAGAGGTTGAGTACTTAAACTCTCTAAATTGACAAGGAATAATCTTCATTCAAGTATGTTAAGGAAGAAATTGATCATAATAATTAATAGTGTAACACACAGAAGAACTCCACTACAAAAGGTGCAAATTTTTTAAGAACACGAGTAAGTGAAACAAATTATTGTTGATGACTCTCAAATATCTACATCAAACAATAGAAATGAATCAAAATTTTCCATTGGAAGACCATTAAATTGGATAAGTGAAGTTGCTGGAAGATATGAATTATGGGTTGATTTATCCATTTTTGAAAATTATAATATTTTTATAGACTATGATGATGACATTGCGTTGAAAGGTCTTAAAGGAGCAGAATTTTGTACTGTAAAGATGTTCAAACCTTTGTGAATAAGCTTGAGTGAAATGCTGTCATGGAGCATCATATGCAATCACTAATGAATAATAAGATCTTGTAGCTATTGAAATTTCAAAAATTAATCTTATTTTGATTAATGATATTGATTAAGGATTGATTGATTGATTTAAGATATTATAGATGCAAATTCATAGGGCTTTAAAGAAGAATAGATTATGGTTGAATAAAAGCAAATAAGTTTAACTTGTGCTTGACAAATTTAACAAGGCAAACTTTAAAGTAATATGGTCATCTTTGACATCACACTTCAAACTTTCCTCAGTTTAACGTCAAACAGATGTCATTGATGTTGATGTTAACTCCGGTTAAAGAATAACCTTATGTTTAGCTATTTATAATTGAGATTGATCGCTCCTTGTTGGATATATATACCTAGGGTCTGTGTATTATCAAAGAGAACGCACTGTATACTATCATGAGCTA